AAAAAAAAAAAAAAAAAAAAAAAAAAAATTAAGTCTCATCTCTGTTAGTAGCTCACTCTATGACATGGATCAGTTTTGTTTTTCCTGTACCACGGATCGAACTCGGGACCTTGCCCTTTCAAGGCAGGTGGCGCAACCACTGAGCTAAATCCCCAGCCAGTCTCCTTTCCTAGGCCTCAGCTAGCTGGCCTGTGAAATAAGCGGGTTGGACTTCACAGCTCTTTTGTGCTACAACTCCCTGATGAGTGTTGTATGAAGCAAAACCCAAAAGTGATACGTATAAAAGAATAAAGCTCCCTACTGTTTCAGGGAACCCCAGGAGCCATAGAGCACCACTTCAATCCGAGAATTACCTGTCTCCCCATAGCTGAAATTTTCCTCCTCTCACCCAGAAGTGCCTCCCGCCCTGAAGTAATAGAAAGTGGGCAGGGTTGGGTAGGGCCTTGGATTTCAACCACAGAGGAACAGGGCAGTTTGAATTCCAATCGTGACTGGTCATCTCTTAAACTTCTCATTTCCTGCTTTACCTGGGCGCTGGCCTCAGGGTAAAACATCGCTCTAAGAACTTTACGCGCAAATTTTTGATATTCTTTCTACAGTATGTTACTCTCAGCAAGTTCAAAGCCTTTGAGGGTCCTAAATGAGAACTTTCGAGATCCTCTCAGGACTTCTGTCTTCTGTCCTACAGCCCACAAGGCGCGGCCGAGTCTCGAGAAAGCGCGACGAGTGGCAACACCGGACAGTCTCGTTCCTGCCTGGCCCCGGGCTTGCCACCTCGGCGCCCTCCTGCCTGTTAGCGAAGGCCTGTGGGAGCTGGGTTCGCAGGCGGTATCCAGGGCGTGAGGAGATAGCCAGCACTGACAGGCACTCCGCTCGACCCGAGCCCTGAGGCCGACACCAGGTTGAGGCGCGTCAGGTCGCCTGCTGCAGCCCAGGCCAGCCCCTGGCTGAAGCCCCGCCCACAAGAGGCGTAGCGTCCCGGAAGAGAGGTAGCCGCACGTCTGCGTCTACGCCTGCGCCACTCGGACTGCGCGCACAGCCTGGGGGCGGAACCAAAGCGGAAGAAAGGTGGGGGGGGCCGAGCCCTGAGGCCGACACCAGGTTGAGGCGCGTCAGGTCGCCTGCTGCAGCCCAGGCCAGCCCCTGGCTGAAGCCCCGCCCACAAGAGGCGTAGCGTCCCGGAAGAGAGGTAGCCGCACGTCTGCGTCTACGCCTGCGCCACTCGGACTGCGCGCACAGCCTGGGGGCGGAACCAAAGCGGAAGAAAGGTGGGGGGGGTCGGCTGTCGCACGCACGCGCAGAAACCACTCTGACTTTCGGTCTCTCTGGGTACCGGCGAAGCTCAGCGGCTAACTCGGCCGGCGCCCGCCCGTGGTAGGTCCCAGGACGTGTGAATGCTAGGCAGCTACAAGGACCTTCCCCATCCGGAGGAGCTTTCCTCAGAGAACATTTGCCAGTAAAGATCTGGGCTTCAGAGACCCGCTTCCCCTACCTTCAGGACCCCAGTCTAGAATGGCCATGCTGCGATCCTTGGTTTCTCAGCTGAGGAGAGGAGGTGCACTGAAGAAGGATGAGGCCCCCCCGCCACGTTTTCTTTAGGACGAGGGAAGGGTGGCCGAACTTGGCCGCCGTGAGGACGCGAGCTATACTGCTTCTGCGGTCACCAAACGCGGAGGGCGCAGCCCCGGAGATCTGCCCAGATGCGTCTTTCTCCGGACCTGTTCCCGCACAGGCTGCCACTCCCGCCGCTCTCCTCACCGGTAGCCAATCCGTGTGGGATGGGGAGGTGGGGGGCCCTGGAGCAGCTGTGTCCTCTTAGGGCCTAAGGAGCAGGGATGGAATGACCCAAAACGTCGCAGGGACCCAGAGAAAGGACACGGGTTGGGTCTCCTTAGGGCCACTGGGGACCCAGGGTCCAACAAGAGCTCCCAGGCAAGACCGAGCTGATTTTGGGTGGGCTTCTGCTTGGGCCTCTCTGTGTCCCTATCACCTGGTTTCCAGCTCTTACGAGCGGGGCAGAGTCGGGGAAAGGCTGGGATTCCAGTGACCACTCAGCAGGACTAGGAGCGGGCAGCGAACTCCTGGGTGTCAAACTCTGGCCCCTGCTGTCGGCCCCTGTGCAACTAATGCTGATCTTCACCCTTCTTCATGACCTTCCTCTATGAGGAACTTGTAGCTCCCCAAGCTCACACTCCCTGCGCTTTGATTTAAGGCCCAATTTTCCCTATCTCATATCACCCTGATTGCTCTCTTATCACCTAATCACCAGCACTGCAGAGGTTTACCTCTGAGTGCCAATCCTTGATATTCCCCCAAGATCTCCCTCTTAATTTCTGGCCTCCCAAACCTACCCTTCCCTCAGAATTAGCTAAAATTCCACTCCCCAAATGTTTGTTGTAGTATTTGCTGAAGAATTTTGATATGTAAATGGGAGTCTTCTCAAAAGAGGTAACCCATTCCTGTTTAAAGACAACCATTTATATGATAGGCCTCGTCAAATAAGAAGGGACTGGGTGTGTAGTCTCTACTCTGGGAAGGCTGAAGCTGGAGGATGACTTGAGTCTAGGAGTTCAAGATCAGCTTCAGCAATATAGTGAAACTCCATCTCAAAAAGGGTGGGGGGAGCTGGAGATGTAGCTCAGCGGTAGTGTGCTTACCTAGCATGTGCAAGACCCTGGGTTCAGTGGCCACAAACAGCAAAAAGAAAAGGAAAAAGATGTCTGTGGGCTTCCTTGATTATTCCCCTTCTTGTGCCTTGAGTCCCTTACTAAATACTTACTTACCCCCAGGACAGAAACAATGCCTTAATAAATATGCAAAAGTTTGAAATCTTTTGAAATTGTGAGATAAATCCAGAGATTTGGAGAAAATGAACTACAACAAATACTTTTGCATTCTTCACAAATATGTAATCACAACTCTTAGTATGTGAGAAAAATATATTGTGCACAGCTTTGTGTAGGCTTCCAAATTAGCACAAATAATAGGATGAGTAGAAAATTGGCCAGGGCCAGGGATTTAGCTCAGTGGCACCTCACCTGCCTCACAAGTGCAAGGTCTTGAGTTCGATCCCCATTACCACAAATAAATTAAGTAAATAAATAAAATTGGCCTTTGGTTTGGTTTGTCATGTATTAGCCTGGTGAACTCAGGCAGAACCCTCCAGTCTTCTGTGTAGGTGCAGCTTTCTCCTGATCAGTTTAGTTTGGTGATAATAAATGTACCAGCCCTCATCTACTTTACAAGATAATGGAAAAAGTCAAATGCGAAATGGAATTAAGATTTATTTTAAGTATCTGTTCCAAAATCAGTCCTCAATAAATTTTCTAATGAAACTTTAAGTCTTAAATTTTGTTACTAACAAGCTTCTAGGTGCTGACTGACCATTTTAAAAATCAGTTCTGAATCTTTGCCAGTTTGTGAGGAAGGAGGAAAGCCTGAGGTGAGCAAGTAACCTAGCATGACCAGTGGGGGAGTTGGGTGTTATACATTCCTGGCCCTTCATTTACAATGCTATTCTCTGGGCCACTTTGTTCATCAATCTCATTGGTAAAATATGAACAATAATGGTAATAACAGTGGGCAGCTACTGAGTGCATTCTGTGGGTTATGTACTATTTCAAGCACATTTCATGTACCCAGCCATTTAATTGCCACCACCACCCCATGTGAGCGGGACTGTCAGTATCTCCATTTTGAGTGAGAAAACTGAAACACAGTTTAGTCATTTGCCTAAGGCCACCCTGTAACAACTGGAAAGGTCCAGGATCAATCCCATACAATCCAACTCTAGGTCTATGCTGTTAATGATACTGGCCAGCTAACTCCATGGGTTTATTGTGTGGATTCAGTGAAATAATACACATAAAATACTCAGCACAGTGCCTAGTGCAGAGCTCTTATGATGAGTGCATCACTGTAAGCCGTAAGTAGGTTAATGCCTATAGGTCTAAAGCACAATTCCTGGCACAAAGGAGATGCTCTAGAAATTGGCTCCCTTTCCTACAGACATGAGGGAGAGAGAGAGAGAGAGAGAATATGTGCCACTCTGCAAAGAGATGCAGGAATGCTCCTTTATGCATGGTAGCTTATCCTAAGGATAAGAAATTGGTAGTGGGGTATGGTGACACATACCTGTAATCCCAGCTTTCTGGGAGGCTGAGGCAGAAAGATCACGTTTGAACCCAGCCTAGGTAACTTAGCAACTTTTTGAGACCATTTCAAAATAAACAGTGCTAGGGTTGTAGCTCAGTGTGAAGGTCTTGAGTTCAATCTCCAGTACCATAAGAGGGGGAAAAAAAAGTTGTCACAACCTTTCAAATATGCCTTTCCTATGGACAGTCTCACGTCTCTATTCTATTTTTCTAATTGGTATGACTTTTTTTTTGGTCTAAAATGATCCCCAAAGCCTCACGTGTTTCTAAGGTGATTGAATTATGGGCATACTATAGCTCCCCTAACTTGCTGTTAGGAGATGGGGTCTCGTTGGAAGAGGTGGGTCCTGGTGGGGTGAACCGGAAGGGTGCTTCCGTCTCCACTTCCTAGCCACCATTATGGGAGCAGCCTTCCTGTACTGCAGACCCTTCCACCATGCTGTTTCTGCCAAGGAGCCAGCCCGCTGTGGACTGAAACCTCTAAAACCACGAGCCCAAATAAAACTCTTGTTTCATTTGTGGGTGTTGAGTCTTAGATCCCAGTGACAAGGAAAGTGACTATGACACTAATGTCTCCTCTTTATTTCCTTTATGGTCTTCCGAAAAGAAATAAGGTTTCCTTGGGCTGGAAAAAGCTTGAGACTAATGTCAGTGTCACAAAAGGTAGAACTGGCATGAAATGCTACTGTACTCATGCATTTTCTAAGGCTGTTTAACTTCAGTTAACTGGGATAAAAACACACTTGCAAAACCAGGGAATGACAACTTGTCCTCCATGACTGAGGGCTGAGTCGGCCATCTAGGATCTATCACACACATTTGTCCGTGTACACACTCCCATAACCTGTGATCTACTTGTACATACTCAATATAATTATTCCTTCACTCACCCACCCCAAACATACTTCTGCATCTGGGGTCATCTATACACAACACAAAACACACAGCCACCTTCTTTACTCCCCCAGAGCCCACTCATTCCAGCAACACATAGGTGAAGAATCGTGTCAGGCACTGTTGGGTACTCGAGCATCATTTCCCCACAAACATAGACTTCCTGCACTGTGATGTTTTTTTTAATGCACCTTACCACATATAATGTTCAGCTTATACATACACGTCCTTAAAGGCATAACGTGACTTTGCTGTTTAGAATGCTCTCAGATTTTGCTTTCCTCATTTTTCCATTTGTTTATCACTTTAATGGCAGATTAACCCAAAGGTGGTAGGGTATGAGGTTTATCAAGCAACACAGTTTCAAGGAAGGATCTGGCCCTTCTTGCTTTCTGTCTTCCAGAGAAACACTATATTTCTCCCAGAATGAGTGGAAAAAGGAACCAGGGTAGAATTGGTGAGCAGGAGTGGCCTTAACAGATCAGACTGGGGCCAGGGATTTATCTCAATGGTTCTGCTGCCTGCCTCACAAGCACAAGGTCCTGAGTTCAATTCCCGATGCCAAAAAAAAAAAATACACACACACACACACACACACACACACACACACATATATATGTATATATGTATATAAACACGTACATACATACTGCTCAGTTGCCCAAGGTCTGTAGACTGCAGAGTCCCCTGATCAGGACACCAGCAAGGGAGAGCATGGGCCCACATATTTAACCCTAAAATCAACTTCCCAAATCAAGAAAACCCAGAGATGTCAGCCTTAGCCACAGAATCTGGCATCCTCCCTGGCAAACTGCATAGGTGGTAGCCTGGGTTTCTAGGTCCTGCTTTCCCTTTTTTGGCTATTTGTAACCTACCTCCTCACAGGGTCCAGTTCTTTCCCTTTCATACTCAGTTTTCAAGCAAGTGTGAAATTTCTTGGCAGATCCCAGAGGGAAAAATTCAAAATTAAAGGA